CTCAGCTCTCTAGCCCTTCTAGAACATCACTAGAGTTGTACATCAGTCACTCAGCTCTCTATCCCTTCTAGAACATCACTAGAATGTACATCAGTCACTCAGCTCTGTAGCCTTTCTAGATCATCACTAGAGTTGTACATCAGTCACTCAGCTCTCTAGCCCTTCTAGATCATCACTAGAGTTGTACATCAGTCACTCAGCTCTCTAGCCCTTCTAGATCATCACTGGGATTCCCACCACTCTGTTCTATGGCCATTCACAGACATGATTAGGACAGATGTACATCAGCCACTCATTTACTCACATCGGACAAATATATTTCGAAACTTCCAAATACCCTTTATTTTCTTTTTTTTTAACGTAATCAATGTCGTTTTTTGTTTAGATTTAAAACTTTGGCAAGATTCGGGTAAACGCAAACGGAAAAGCCCGATTGTCCACGAGCACACGGGTCAGTAAAATATACATCCTTAGGCACGTTTAAATCACAGTAGGAGCCATGAATCAACTGCGCAAATAATTGTAATCTGATTACAAGCTCTGTAAACAATTTGTAATCTCATTACAAGCTGGATGGCGGCGGTGTTTGGTGGCTAAGCTGCACGTGACCTCTCATCCAGCGCTGTGGAGGAGGCAGCGAGGGTTGGTGCATCACGCACAGATGATGTTGTTGTTGATGGAAAAAAAAGTTGCTTCTTAGCTCATCGGATTCCTGCAGTATAAATGTTCTGATCCGGATTCTGGTGTCTTCCAGTGGGTGTCGAGTAACAGCCGTATCCCGTGGCTTGCTCGGAGATGCGGTACAGAAAAGTGCGTGGACTAATCTCCATCTGTTCCGTCTGGGACTTAGTGTTGTAACAGATGAGCTGCCGCTCACCAATGTGGCACTTCTGGATTTTAGGTAAATAAGCGGAAAGTCGGATGAGCATCCTCCAATGAATCTTGACTTGAAAACGCTTTAAAACGTATTCCGATTCAGCCATCCACCACCACCACCACCGATAACAACTGGCGTCTCTAGCCAGCGAGTAATCATAACCCCGAATACACTCATCATCATCATCATTGTTCAAGTCGTGACAATATATTTTCAATCCCGCTCTGCAGGGAGTGGCCCCCCTATCACAACCACCATGAGATTTGTTTTCAATAAGTGTAAAAAAAAAAACCATCTCATTAATTAAAAACGCGGTTTAAATTGTATTTTTTTTGTCAAGAAATGCTTTCATTTACTGCACCACATTTTTTATTTTATTTGTATCTTACATTTTAATTTAATCAGAGCGGTGAGGTTCGCACAGCTGTCAAACCATCCGGTTTATTCCGAAGTCTTGTACAGGGAAATTACATTTTCAGGTCCATACGGCGTACAGCCGTTTCAATACGGGTAGAAAAATATGTTTTGTCCATTTGTGTTTTGCCCTTGTGATGGGACTTTGTAGGATGAACATTGATATGGATAAAGACACGGTGTGACCACTAAGGTCTGAATTGGTCTGTAATAAGGTAGGGCACTGATCAGGGGTTGACAGGTATGCATGTAGATCAATAGGCTCCCATATAGATCAATAGGATCCCATATAGACCAATATGGTCCCATGCACATACCTGTCAACCCATACGGTTTACCCGGTATTCTTGTAATGATAATTATTTTTGTCTATTTGTTTGTGAACACCCACCACCACACTCACCACTAGTACACTCACCACTAGTGTAATGACTCACCACTAGTACACTCGCCACTAGTGTAATGACTCGCCACTAGTACACTCGCCACTAGTGTAATGACATGATGACACCTGCTGGCTGGGAAAGGGAAGCGCAGGTACGGGTACCGCTAATACAACATCCAATCTGAAAGGGAGATAAATGGGCGGGGTTGGCCGAGATGTTCCAGGAACCTGCTGGAAGGTTCCACGAGAGGGCGTGGCCGGAGGCGGAGCCTAGCCACGCCCGGGGAGTTATAAGCGGGGGTAGGACCCGGGGCTCGAGGTTCGTGTGCGGATTCTTGGGTCCGGACTGCCTCGCTGCTCACCGTCATCTCTCTCAGTCGTCCGGCCACGTGGAAGGTCTCCTGCAAGGTGTCCATCGCCATTCCTCGTCTACGCCGCCAGCCAGCGGCGTAGCGGAGTGAGGGCGGTGGAACCGCGCCGAGTGATCGGCTGTGTGTGTAGCCAGTGGAGGCGTTAACATCTAAAGTGTTGTACTCGGTGTGAGACGGATAAGGTTGGCCTGTGTTATGCCCAGTGGTGAGAAATAAAGAAGCACCCCCCCCAGACGACGTGTCGCAGAAGTCGCTCATTACACTAGTACACTCACCACCATACTCACAACTACAAACCAGTCAACCCCTTACCAGTGTCCTACCTTACTACAGAGGGGGGGAGGGAAGGGGGGAGCTCCCAGGGGGGGGGGGGGGGCTCCCGGGGAGAGGGGGGGGGCTCCCAGGGGGGGGGGGGGAGGGGGGCTCCAGGAGGGAGGGGGGGCTCCCGGGGAGAGGGGGGGGCGCCCTCGCTCTGTGCTGGGGGTTCGCTTTGTGCGATTTCACGCGGTGGATTGCGGCTGCATGCGAGATTGCCCCGTTCGTCACGCTGTGCCCATTCAGTTCACTCGGCTTTGCGGTCGGACGTGGGACAACATTGTGCACTGTGTGTGTACTGTGTGTGTGTACTGTGTGTGCACTGTGTGTTTACTCTGTGTGTACGGTGTGTACTGTTGTGTGTACTGTGTGTGTACTATGTGGCTGTACTGTGTGTACTGTTTGTGTATACTTTGTAATGTGGTGTACTGCGTGTGTTTACCGGTGTGTGTGCTGTGTGTGTGCTGTGTGTGTACTGTGTGTGTACTGCGTGTGTGTGCTGTGTGTGTACTGCGTGTGTACTGCGTGTGTGTGCTGTGTGTGCTGTGTATGTGTACTATGTGTGTACTGCGTGTGTGTGTGCTGTGTGTGTAGTGTGTGTGTACTGCGTGTGTGCACTGTGTGTACTGTGTGTGTGTACTGTGTGTGTACTGATTGCACTACTCGGCAGGCAGCTATCTCACAAACACAGATACACACACACGGGTACATACACAGAGATACATACATAGATACAGAGAGATACACACGGATATATAATAAGCACGGGTACACACACAGAGATATCTACAGATACACGCGAACACACAGATATGTCTGTGTGTTCGTGTGTGTCCGTGTGTCTGTATGTCCGGGTCTCCGTGTGAATGTATGTCCGTGTGTCCGTGTGCATGTACGTATGTATGTCCGTGTGTCTGCATGTCCGTGTGTCTGCGTGTCTTGAGTGTCCGTGTGTCTGTATGTCCTTGTGTCTGTATGTGTGTATGTATGAATGTATGCCTGTGTGTCTTTTAGTCTGTATCTCCGTGTGTCCGTGTGTCTGACTGTATGTACGTCCGTTTGTCTGTATGTTCGTGTGTTTGTGTCGGTGTGTCGGTGTCTCTGAGTGTTTTGAGTGTCGGTGTGTCTGTATGTGTGTCCGTGTGTCGGTGTGTCTGTAGGTCCGTGTGTCTGAGTGTCTGTATGTTTGTGTGTCTGTATGTCCGTGTGTCCGTGTGTCTGTATGTATTTATGTATGTATATCCGTGTGTCTGCGTGTCTGTATGTCTGTGTGTCTGTACGTATGTCTGTGTGTATGTATGTCCGTGTGTCTGTATAACTGTATGCATGTCCGTGTGTCTGTATATCCGTGTGTCTGAGTGTCTGTATGTCTGTGTGTCTCTGTGTCCGTGTGTCCGTGTGTCTGTACGCGTGTCCGCGTGTCTGCACGCGTGTCCATCCGCCCGTGACATGGGGACGGGGTCACTGCCATCCGTTTCTCGCAACTTGATCACGCGAGGATTTCGATGCGACTGCAATCATTCGGCGCTAGCCCACGAGGAAACCATTGCGAAATCGATGCTATGAGGGTTCAGCTACACACCAAGAAAAACAAAAACCCCAATAACGATTTCAAGTGAAATAAAAAAAAATCAAACAGCGACGTTCTCACGCCACTGGCCGTGCGAGTCGCTGAACTTGAACGAGGTTCAGGTACAGGTGTAAGGGGCCGTCCATAAATGACGTCACGCGATTCTGGACGATTTTTGACCCCCCCCCCCACCCCACCCCTTCGTCACACGGCGTCACAAAAAGTCAGAGCACCTACCCCCTCAAATATGACGTCACAAAACCATATTTCGAATTTGCAAATAAAAAATGCTTCAAATCTCTTTAAACTATTGTCATCGTCGTGCGTATTTAATGTGGCGCTGCACTCTGATGTTGTAGGAGAAACACATTTATTAAAAAGTCTATTTAATTAAGCAGAAAGTGTTGTCTATATTTATTGAAAGTTGCGCATTTTGATGTGACGTCACATTTCTCAAACACCCCCCCCCCTCCGTCACACATCGTCACAAATGTCTGACCCCCCCCCCCCCAGGTGCGTGACGTCATTTATGGACGGCCCCTTAGTGTAAGCGCCGTGATCTGCTCGAGAGGGGCAGCGGAGGAGATTGGCCGACTCGTAGATAACACACAAAGACAAAGATCCCCCGTATAGCCTTAGCAGGCTGTTGGGGCAAGTGCTGTGAGCGAGCACCTATGAAGGCCGGAACGGCACACGAGCGGGTGGGTGTCCAGCACCACGCCCGACCGCCTTTGTCTCCCCAGTGGCGATGTTTACACACCGCATCAGGTACTCACTTGAGGCTGAGTCAACCTAGGGGAGGCCCATAACCGCTTCAGATAATCGTCACCGGTGTGGTCAGTGAGCGGGAATCGAACCCGGGTCGCCAGGTTCACAGCGCAGCGTAGCGCTAACCGCTGCACCACCGCTCCCCATCTACGCACACGCTCAAGCATCGGCGTTTCGTCCTTTGCGAATAAGGAATCCAATCCGCCCCCCCCCCCCCTTCCATCCCTCCCCGGTACCCCACTCACCCCCACCTCCACGGCCACTCCCCAGACCCCCCTCCCCCCACCCACTCCACGCGCTTTACATTCGCGTGAGCGGTAGCTGATTCTTCGCCGCCTTCTCCTTGCGACACGTTCCGCACAGCACGCCCAGGAAGCCGTTGATGAACTGAACAGCGCACAGCAGCGCCTCGACTGCTCCCGTGGTCGCGACGATCGAGAAGAAGGCCACGTGCCATGTCACGGCGCCCAGGGGCTCCACGCAGACGGACCACGACGTCTTGTTGAAGAGGTAGCTGCTTCTGCTCGATGGGTTGTGGGGGCGGGGGACGGAGAGAAAGGGTGGAGGGGGGGAGGGTAGCTACTCGTGTAGGGTCGAGGGGGTGCTGTGTCAGGCGTGATGCTGGCCAGAGACCGCCCCCCCCCACACCCCAGTGTAGATAGACACTCAGATATTTAGATAGACATTCAGATCGACACTGAGATCTCAAGGCAATGACCGCCGTGTTTCTGACATGGCCATCGTGATTTCCGCTCAGAGACTCCCCCCCCTCCCATCGTAGATAGACACTCAGATAGACACTCAGATAGACATTCAGATAGACACTCAGATAGACACTCAGATCTCAAGGCCATAACCGCCGTGTTTCTGACATGGCCATCGTGAACTCCGCTCAGAGACTCCCCCCCCCCCTCCCATCGTAGATAGACACTCAGATAGACACTCAGATAGACATTTAGATAGACACTCAGATAGACACTCAGATAGACATTCAGATCTCAAGGCCATGACCACCGTGTTTCTGACATGGCCATCGTGAACTCTGCTAAGAGACTCCCCCCCCTCCCATCGTAGATAGACACTCAGATAGACACTCAGATGAACACTCAGATAGACACTCAGATAGACACTCAGATAGACACTCAGATAGACATTCAGATAGACACTCAGATAGACACTCAGATAGACACTCAGATCTCAAAGCCATGACCACCGTGTTTCTGACATGGCCATCGTGAACTCCGCTACTTCCCCATAACCCGGGCGCTTCAATCCAGGTATGTCAATCCAGGTATGTCAATCCAGGTATGTCAATCCAGGCATGTCAATCCAGGCATGTCAATCCAGGTATGTCAATCCAGGTATGTCAAGCCAGGCATGTCAATCCAGGCATGTCAATCCAGGCATGTCAATCCAGGTATGTCAATCCAGGTATGTCAAGCCAGGCATGTCAATCCAGGTATGTCAAGCCAGGCATGTCAATCCAGGTATGTCAATACAGGCATGTCAATCCAGGTATGTCAATACAGGTATGTCAATCCTGGCATGTCAATCCAGGCATGTCAATCCAGGCATGTCAATCCAGGTATGTCAATCCAGGCATGTCAATCCAGGTATGTCAATCCAGGTATGTCAATCCAGGTATGTCAATCCAGGTATGTCAATCCAGATATATCAATCCAGTATGTCAATCCAGACATGTCAATCCAGGTATGTCAATCCAGGTATGTCAATCCAGGTATGTCAATCCAGATATATCAATCCAGGTATGTCAATCCAGACATGTCAATCCAGGTATGTCAATCCAGGCATGTCAATCCAGGTATGTCAATCCAGGTATGTCAATCCAGGTATGTCCATCCTGGCATGTCAATCGAGGCATGTCAATCCAGGCATGTCAATCCAGGTATGTCAATCCAGGTATGTCAAGCCAGGCATGTCAATCCAGGTATGTCAATACAGGCATGTCAATCCAGGTATGTCAATACAGGTATGTCAATCCAGACATGTCAATCCAGGTATGTCAATCCAGGTATGTCAATCCAGGTATGTCAATCCAGATATATCAATCCAGGTATGTCAATCCAGACATGTCAATCCAGGTATGTCAATCCAGGTATGTCAATCCAGGTATGTCAATCCAGGCATGTCAATCCAGGTATGTCAATCCAGGTATGTCAATCCAGGTATGTCAAGCCAGGTATGTCAAGCCAGGTATGTCAGTTCAGGTATGTCAATCCAGGCATGTCAATCCAGGCATGTCAAGCCAGGTATGTCAGTTCAGGTATGTCAATCCAGGTATGTCAGTTCAGGTATGTCAATCCAGGCATGTCAATCCAGGTATGTCAATCCAGGTATGTCAATCCAGGCATGTCAAGCCAGGTATGTCAATCCAGGTATGTCAATCCAGGTATGTCAATCCAGGTATGTCAATCCAGGCATGTCAATCCAGGCATGTCAATCCAGGCATGTCAATCCAGGTATGTCAATCCAGGTATGTCAATCCAGGCATGTCAATCCAGGTATGTCAATCTAGGTATGTCAATCCAGGTATGTCAATCCAGGTATGTCAGTTCAGGTATGTCAATCCAGGTATGGCAGTTCAGGTATGTCAATCCAGGCATGTCAATCCAGGTATGTCAATCCAGGTATGTCAATCCAGGCATGTCAAGCCAGGTATGTCAATCCAGGTATGTCAATCCAGGTATGTCAATCCAGGCATGTCAATCCAGGTATGTCAATCCAGGTATGTCAATCCAGGTATGTCAATCCAGGCATGTCAATCCAGGTATGTCAATCCAGGCATGTCAATCCAGGTATGTCAATCCAGGTATGTCAATCCAGGTATGTCAATCCTGGCATGTCAATCCAGGTATGTCAATCCAGGTATGTCAATCCAGGCATATCAATCCAGGCATGTCAATCCAGGTATGTCAATCCAGGTATGTCAATCCAGGCATGTCAATCCAGGCATGTCAATCCAGGTATGTCAATCCAGGCATGTCAATCCAGGTATGTCAATCCAGGTATGTCAATCTAGGTATGTCAATCCAGGTATGTCAATCCAGGTATGTCAATCCAGGCATATCAATCCAGGCATGTCAAGCCAGGTATGTCAAGCCAGGTATGTCAGTTCAGGTATGTCAATCCAGGCATGTCAATCCAGGCATGTCAAGCCAGGTATGTCAGTTCAGGTATGTCAATCCAGGTATGTCAGTTCAGGTATGTCAATCCAGGCATGTCAATCCAGGTATGTCAATCCAGGTATGTCAATCCAGGCATGTCAAGCCAGGTATGTCAATCCAGGTATGTCAATCCAGGTATGTCAATCCAGGCATGTCAATCCAGGCATGTCAATCCAGGTATGTCAATCCAGGTATGTCAATCCAGGCATGTCAATCCAGGTATGTCAATCTAGGTATGTCAATCCAGGTATGTCAATCCAGGTATGTCAGTTCAGGTATGTCAATCCAGGTATGTCAGTTCAGGTATGTCAATCCAGGCATGTCAATCCAGGTATGTCAATCCAGGTATGTCAATCCAGGCATGTCAAGCCAGGTATGTCAATCCAGGTATGTCAATCCAGGTATGTCAATCCAGGCATGTCAATCCAGGTATGTCAATCCAGGTATGTCAATCCAGGTATGTCAATCCAGGCATGTCAATCCAGGTATGTCAATCCAGGCATGTCAATCCAGGTATGTCAATCCAGGTATGTCAATCCAGGTATGTCAATCCTGGCATGTCAATCCAGGTATGTCAATCCAGGTATGTCAATCCAGGCATATCAATCCAGGCATGTCAATCCAGGTATGTCAATCCAGGTATGTCAATCCAGGCATGTCAATCCAGGCATGTCAATCCAGGTATGTCAATCCAGGCATGTCAATCCAGGTATGTCAATCCAGGTATGTCAATCTAGGTATGTCAATCCAGGTATGTCAATCCAGGTATGTCAATCCAGGCATATCAATCCAGGCATGTCAATCCAGGTATGTCAATCCAGGTATGTCAGTTCAGGTATGTCAATCCTGGCATGTCAATCCAGGCATGTCAATCCAGGTATGTCAATCCAGGCATGTCAATCCAGGTATGTCAATCCAGGTATGTCAATCCAGGTATGTCAATCCTGGCATGTCAATCCAGGTATGTCAATCCAGGTATGTCAATCCAGGCATATCAATCCAGGCATGTCAATCCAGGTATGTCAATCCAGGTATGTCAATCCAGGCATGTCAATCCAGGCATGTCAATCCAGGTATGTCAATCCAGGCATGTCAATCCAGGTATGTCAATCCAGGTATGTCAATCTAGGTATGTCAATCCAGGTATGTCAATCCAGGTATGTCAATCCAGGCATATCAATCCAGGCATGTCAATCCAGGTATGTCAATCCAGGTATGTCAGTTCAGGTATGTCAATCCTGGCATGTCAATCCAGGCATGTCAATCCAGGTATGTCAATCCAGGCATGTCAATCCAGGTATGTCAATCCAGGTATGTCAATCCAGGTATGTCGTCAGGTCGATGAACGAGCTTTGGACCTCTGAGCCGCCGCTCGTTACGCACGCAGAGCGCTCGCCCGCACGTGACCCACAGGACGGTGACCTCACTGCTGACGTCGTCAAGGAGCGAAAAACCACCACCCCCATCCAGCACACGGACCACTCCGCGTCATCCTCGCGGCAGTAGCAGCAGCAGCGGCGACTTTTGGCTCAGGGGCCGCCCATAAATGACGTCACGCGATTTTGGATATTTTTTGACCCCCCTCCCTCGTCACAAAAAGTCAGACCCCCCCCCCTCAAATATGACGTCACAAAGCTCTGCCTCCCCCCCCCCCAAAAAAAAAAACATATTTCGATTTTGCAAATAAAAAAATGCTTCAAATTGCTTTAAACTGTTGTCAGTGTAGTGCGTATTTAATGTGGCGCTGCACTCTGATGTTGCAGGAGAAAACATTTATTACAAAGTATATTTAATTAAGTTAGAACGTGTTGTCTTTATTCATTTAAAGTTGCGCATTTTGATGTGACGTCACATTTCTCAAACCCCCACCCCCCTCGTCACACATCGTCACAATTTAACACTCTTCTGAAATTCGAGGTCCGCCAGCTAAGTGTCTAACTGTGTTGTTGGCCTGACTGGTTGTGCACCACGCAATTTTTTCTTAGGCTTGTTGAATTCTCGTCTCTCGTCTTCCTGTTGTTTTTACCTCCATGATTTGTTCTTGACACCTGATGCAGATCGCTTGTGTTGCGGTCGAAACGTCGCGATTGATTTATCTTAATATGATTTTAATATAATTTAACGGTATTTCTACATACGTGACTTTACCGAAAAAAAAACAATGAGCAATCGTCACAAATGTCTGACCCCGCCCCGCCCCCCGCCCCTAGGTGCGTGACGTCATTTATGGACGGCCCCTCAGCCGTCGTACAGAGACGGGCCGAACGCTCTCAGACGCGCTTGCAGCGGGCCGTCTGGACAGCGCTCGTGCCGATATTCGGGAAGCCGCCGCGTGTAGCTACGGCGCTCTTCAAAATCATCTCCATTGACAGGCCCGTTCCTTTCATCGAGCGGGGCACGTGTCCAGCGCCTCGTGCTTGACCCCGCACCCACGATTAGCACGCTTGGCCACGTCCGTATGCAAGCGAAAGAGGAACAAACGCGCGTACGTGCATGCGACTCGTGGCACTTACTGCACGTTGGCCTGGTTGACGCTGTGGAGGGGCTGCTCGAATGGATAAACCCATTCCTCCGACGTGGAATTCACGATGCATTTGGGCCCTTGAATGAGCCCCACGGTGCTCACAGCGAGGCAATAGCCAGACCCCACCAGGCCCACGACGGAGAAGAGAACCGACATCAACATCTGTTTGGAGATCGGACAAACAACAACAACAACAACATCGTCAACATCGTCGTCGTTATTGCTATCAACTTTGTAACTGTACAAGTCAAGTGTCAAGGATTCATAAGCATGCACGTCAAGACTATGGGCAAAGTTACTCTATGGGCTAAGATAGTCTCTGGGCAATTTTAGTCTATGGGCAATATTAGTCTATGGGCAATGTTAGTCTCTGGGCAATGTTAGCCTATGAGCAGTGCTGAGTCTATGAGCAGTGTTGAGTCTATGGGGCAGTGTTGAGTCTATGGGCAGTGTTGAGTCTATGAGCAGTGTTGAGTCTATGAGCAGTGCTGAGTATATGGGCAATCTTAGTCTATGGGCTAAGATAGTCTATGGGCAATGTTAGTCTGTGGGCAATGTTAGTCTATGGACAATGTTGTCTTTGGCCAATGATGATGATGATGATGAGAATGTTGATAGTGATGCGATGGCGGTAGTGTAGCAATTAGCGCGCTACGCTACACACTCGGAGGCACGAGTTCAATTCCCCCTCACGGCCAACACCGGTGACGATTGTCTGAACAGGTCCTGGGCCTCCCCTAGGTCAACTCAGCCTCAAACGAGTACCTGGTGCGCTGTGTAAACATCGCCACTGGGGTAGACAAAGGCGGCAGGGGCGTGGTGTTGGCCACCCACCCCCCTTGTGTGCCGTGCCGGCCTCCATAGGTGCTGCTCGCTAACAGCACTTGCCCCGACAGTCCGTTGAAGGCTATACGGGGGATCTTTGCCTTTGTGTGCTCAGGGTTTTCTCGTGACGTGGCGTGTGCTCCCCCGGGCTCTCACCCCACATCTGTTGGCGCAACAGCTCCTCTTGAGTCCGGCACAGATCATCTGCATCGCTGAAAGCAAGACCTGTTCAACAATAGGCATCATCATCATCATCACCACCTTCAGCAACAATAACATCGCTAACAATAGATAAAGATACACCCCGTATGGGGGGAGGGCTTGCAGAGAGAGAGAGAGAGAAAAATAGATCGAGAGAGAGAGAATGCGAGAGTGAAAGAGAGAGAGAGAGAGGAAAAGAAAGATAGAGAGAGATATAATGAAGTCTGATCTTGATTTGAAGCTTTCGTGACTGCAGGAATCCATACTCTTTGGTTCTTTCGGTAAAGTCACGTGGGTAGAAAATAAAATAAATCACGACGTTTCGGGCGTAACACAAGCGTCCGTCATCAGGTGGGAAAGCGTGGTCTTGCTGCTGAGGCAGACTGTTTTAAAAAGGTTTGAAATGGGTGTAGCTCAAGGGTCATAAATAAGTGGCCGGGTATGGTGATGTTAATGTGAGTAATTAGCATGATGTTAATGTGAGAGATTAGCATGTAACCGTAAGATAGGAGAGCGGCCTCCTGCTACATCCGTTGGGTTGCACTCCCTCGTCGAGGAGACCGCTCTTCTTCTACTTCTCTATAGTTCTATGCTAATCTCTCACATGAACATCATGCTAATCTCTCACGTTAACATCATGCTAATCTCTCACATTAAAATCATGCTAATCTCTCACGTTAACATCATGCTAATCTCTCACGTTAACATCATGCTAATCTCTCACATTAACATCATGCTAATCTCTCACATTAACATCATGCTAATCTCTCACATTAACATCATGCTAATCTCTCACGTTAACATCATGCTAATCTCTCACATTAACATCATGCTAATCTCTCACGTTAACATCATGCTAATCTCTCACATGAACATCACGCTAATCTCTCACATTAACATCATGCTAATCTCTCACATTAACATCATGCTAATCTCTCACATGAACATCATGCTAATCTCTCACGTTAACATCATGCTAATCTCTCACATTAACATCATGCTAATCTCTCACGTTAACATCATGCTAATCTCTCACATTAACATCATCCTAATCTCTCACGTTAACATCATGCTAATCTCTCACATTAACATCATGCTAATCTCTCACGTTAACATCATGCTAATCTCTCACATTAACATCATGCTAATTTATCACATTAACATCATGCTAATCCCTCACATTAACATAGCCACTTTCGTGCCCTCTAATTTCTCACATTAACATCATGATAATCCCTCACATTAACATAGCCTCTTCTGTGCCCTCTAATTTATCACATTAACATCATGCTAATCCCTCGCATTAACATAGCCACTTCTGTGCCCTCTAATTTCTCACATTAACATAATTCTAATTTATCACATTAACATCATGCTAATCCCTCGCATTAACATAGCCACTTACGTGCCCTCTAATCCCTCACATTAACATTATGCTAATTTTTCACTTTAACATAGTCACTTCCGTACCCTCTAATTCATCACATTAACATCATGCTAATCCCTCACATTAACATAGCCACTTCCGTGCCCTCTAATTCATCACATTAACATCATGCTAATCCCTCACATTAACATAGCCACTTCCGTGCCCTCTAATTTCTCACATTAACATCATGAGAATCCCTTACATTAACATAGCCACTTCCGTGCCCTCTAATTTCTCACATTAACATCATGCTAATCTCTCACATTAACATAGCCACTTCCGTGCCCTCTAATTTCTCACATTAACATCATGCTATTCTCTCACATTAACATCATGCTAATCTCTCACATTAACATCACTAGCCCTGGCCACTTCTTTATGACCCTTGGGCTACACCCATTTCAAACCTTTTAAAAGCAGTCTGCCTCAGCAGCAGGCCACGCTTTCCCACCTGATGACGGACGCTTGGTGTTGCGTCCGAAACGTCGTGATTTATTTTATTTTTTACCTACGTGACTTTACCGAAAGAACCAAAGAGTAATGAGACTTAACTTTTGACTTTTGAACAACTTTTATTGCCGCCGCCAGCAGCAAAAGCACTGGAGGCGATTTCGATATGAAACACGCAAAGTCACCATCAACACAAACGAATAATCGCTATAATCCACGAGAATGAGAGAGAGAGAAAGAGAAGATTTAAACCAATTTCATCGCTGCCAGCAGAAAACACACTGGAGCCGATTTCGATACAAAAACCACAATCGAGTACAGCTTTACGTGCGTAACGTCACAAACACGCTCCCCGCGGGCACGTGACACTGCGCGCGCCATACGCGCATCGCAGCAACGTGACGTCGTTACGCACGACTCGCTCGACAAAGCAGATCGTTAAACATAGAGAGAGATAAATAGAGTGAGTGAGAGAGAGAGTGAGAGAGAGAGAGAGGAATAGAGTGTGTGTGAGAGAGAGAGGGAGATAAATAATAGTGAGACTTTAGACTTTTAAACAACTTTTATTGCCGCCAGCAGCAAAAGCACTGGAGGCGATAATCGATATGAAATACACAAAGTCACCAGCAACACAAATAAAACAACCGCTATAAATCCACGCGCTGTGGCGCTAAAAAGCACCGCGCACAACACGAAAGAAAAGTCACGTGGTGGTGGTGGTGGTCATCGCGCACGACACGTTGACGAGCGAGCGCTTCAGAAGGTGAACACGTGGGGTGGTGCCGTCCACGCTGGTGGTACAGAGAGGGGCTTTTCCCGCTCCCCAGCGTTCGAAGAAGACGTGGGAGAGAGCGAGAGATGGGAGGGAGAGAGCGAGAGATGGGAGGGAGAGAGCGAGAGATGGGAGGGAGAGAGCGAGATATGGGAGGGAGTGAGCGAGAGAGTGATGGGCAGGGAGAGAGCGAGAGACTTTTGACTTTTTAACAACTTTCATTGCCGCCAGCAGCAAAAGCACTGGAAGCGATTCCGATATGAAATACACAAAGTCACCAGCGAAATATAGTGAGAGAGAGATAAACATAGTGAGAGAGAGAGAGATAAATATAGTGAGAGAGATAGACAAATAGAGTGTGTGAGAGAGAGAGAGTGTGTGAGAGAGAGAGAGTGAGCTAGAGAGTGAGCTAGAGAGTGAGCGAGAGAGAGTGAGAGAGATAAATATAGTGTGAGAGAGAGAGGGAGTGAGCTAGAGAGTGAGCTAGAGAGTGAGCGAGAGAGAGATAAATATAGTGTGTTTGAGAGAGAGAGAGTGTGTGAGCTAGAGAGTGAGTGAGAGAGACATTCTCACCAGAATTCCACCGCCTCCAATGCCTCCCAGGTAGAGTGCATAGACGGTGATGCGAGCGGTGGGGTCCTCCTTGGAAATGTGGTTGATGGCTCCGTACGGGAAGAACATGAGCGCGTTGCCCAGGATGGCAACTACGGCCAGCGGGATGAGAGAGATGCCCACGCATATAGTGCATTTGCCCGTGCACATTGTTGCGACGTGTGTATACCTGTGTGTGTGTGTTGAACTTCTTTCGCACCGTACGTAGCCAAACCGTGCTAATCGGAGGGTGCTTATTGCTGGGGTCCGACCAGCAAAGGAAAAGGCTGGCGGTGTACGTGGAAGAGCCGCTCGCTTACTAAGCTGAAATATGTTTACTTCACCAGGTTAAGGCCCACTGCGCTCTCGATGTATCGCTCTTTTTACTTTTTTTGCAGAAGCGACCTGGCCCCAAACGATAGCTTAACGAGCACAAAGATAAAGACAAAGATCCTCCTCAACTCCCCCCCCCCCCTTCGCGTAGCCTTCAGAAGACTGCTGGGACAAGTGCTACTACAAGAGAGACACGGAGGAAGTCCAACGCGGCGCATGTAATAAACACACACACAGATAAAGATCTTGCGTTTATAGCCTTAACAGACTGTTGGGGCAAGTGCTGTTAGCGAGCACCGATGAAATTAAAAAAAACACAGAGAGAAACGTACGCACACACACACGCACGCGTAAACAAAAAAATAAAACTTAAAAAAAATAACAAAAAATGTATATCCAAGAAAGAGTTTGAACTGTTGAGAAATCTACAGGCGCATCAGAACTCGGCGGGCAATGCGCGGTCTCCGATCTCGCTGCGGGTCCACGCACTCCCCTGGCCTTTATAATGCGGGCGACGGTCGCGGGCCGAGTGTCACATGAGCCATCATCACCATCACGGGAGAGGGAGGTAGTGAAGGGTAGTGGGGGGCTGTGGTGGTGGTGGGGGGGGGAGCTTTGGGGAAACACGCTGGCGGAGTTGAACCCTCGATACTCATTGATCGAGGTTGCTGCGCGCACATCGTCGGGATGAAATGTGACACATTAACACCCCTCCCCTCCCCCCTCCGGTCCGGTCCGAAGATCTTAAACTAACCCGATTGTGTTTTTATATTCTTGGCTCTTTCGGTAAAGTCACGTAAATAGAAAATAGAAATAAAATTATAATTTTTGAAAATAATAATAGCAAAAAAAACTTTCCGACCGATGAAGACCCCTGGTGTAGCGACCGAAACGTCGCGGGCTTTTTGCTTTTATTATTTTCAATTTATTTTTTATATTTTTTATTTAATGTATTTTTGTATTTTCTATCTACGTGACATTACCGAAAGAACCAAGAGTATGAATTCCTGCAGTCACGAAAGTTTGAAGTCGATTACGTTTGATTATATTTTACCAAGTAAGGGCTCACTGAGCTCTCCATAGCTGTGTTGTCAGCAGCGACCCGGCTCTGTGAATGATATCTCGACGAAGTGGCGTCATCGAGGGATCATCTTGTGGGAATGTAGAGCATTGGCAAAATACTCTAAACCCGTGATGTTTATTTTAAATGTAGATTTGAAAACGCGGAGAACTGGAGAACAAAAAAAAACATCCACGCGACCACGGGGATAGAGAGTGAGAGAGAGAGACACGCAAACTCCGAATACACAGCAGGTGTCAGGGTCGGGATCGAACCCACGACCTCCTGTATGCCAGGCGAAGTGGTTAACATCTCGCCACCGTGGTGATGATGATGAGAGAGAGACACGCAAACTCCGAATACACAGCAAGTGTCAGGGTCGGGATCGAACCCACGACCTCCTGTATACCAGGCGAGGTGGTTAACATCTCGCCACCGTGGTGATGATGATGAGAGAGAGACACGCAAACTCCGAATACACAGCAGGTGTCAGGATCGGGATTGAAACCACGACCTCCTGTATACCAGGCGAGGTGGTTAACATCTCGCCACCGTGGTGATGATGATGAGAGAGAGACACGCAAACTTCAAGTATAGAGGTGTCAGGGTCGGGATCGAACCCACGACCTCCTGTATACCAGGCGAGGTGGTTAATGGTGATACTCATGATGGTTCATCATTATGATGATCATGATGGTGATGACCATGATGGTGATGGCAAGACCGGAATGGTAAGACCACGATTCTCAACAATGCGACGCCAATCCTCCTGGCTCTCCTGTTCTCTCGAACATTCTGCCAACCAAAATATCCGCAGAGACCTGGGCGCACAAACTGCTCCTGCAAGGGAGTTGGCACTTTACTCTTGCCAACTACAACCACCACCACCACCAAGACCTTGACAATGTCGCCTCGATGGCCACTCAAATCCCAGAGGTCTTTATTTATTAAATAAAATAAAGACCTCTGTGTTTGTTGTTGTGGCGCCCTTCATATGTGCTGCTACCAGTGGTGCCGGATTATCCTAGTAGCAAAAGTATCTACACATGAAGTAGCTACGGGCCCCGCACTTTCAAGGGCCGCGCGCTAAATGCTTTCAAGCTATCAATTCCGGTTCAGCGATTCTGCACTTGCTATATTACTATAGTACTATACCACCTTGATCTTTTATGAACGACTGTGTGTTTAAGGTTAGCGATGTGTCGTATTATCTGGCTGTATAGCAAATGAAAAAACAATTACTTTACTTTTCGATTTAAAGCTTTCGTGACTGCAAGGATTCATCTTCTTTGGTTCTTTCGGTAAAGTCACGTAGAATGAGAATAAAATAATAAATTAAACCAATAAAATTCGCACGACGTTTCGGCCACAACACAAGTAGCCGTCCTCTGGACAGTCATGTTTCTTCACCTGAGGACGGCTACTTGTGTTGTGGCCGAAACGTCGTGAGAATTTTGTTTTCTTATTTTATTTTCTTATTTTATTCTCATTCTATGTGACTTTACCGAAAGAACCAAAGAACAATCACTTTACTATGCAAGTTAAAAAATGCGTGTGTTTTTGTAACATTGTGTCTCACCCCCCGCGCGCCCCTCCACCACCACCGGCTCGCAAAAATCCACTGGACCGCGAGCGAGCGAGTTGGAATGGATCTTCAGCCGGGAGATAATTAACGAGACATCATCCTCATCATCATGATGATCGTCGCAGTCATCTTCACTCGTGCTCATCAACAGATCCCATTATTTCAACACGTGCTAATTTGCATGGCTTTTGACGAGGTCACTTCCCGCCCGTCCACGCTCCACTGTTCGCATGTCGTAGTCTTGGTCCGCCTCTTCAACACAAAAGGCAAAGACCCCACGCTGTAGCCTCTACGGACTTTCTGGGGCAAGTGCTGTTGGCGAAGTCGCACCACCTATGAAGGCCGGAACGGCGCGCGAGGGGGTGGGTGGCCAGCGCCACGCCCGGACGCCTTTGTCTCCCCGGTGACGATGTTTTACGACACCGCAACCAGGTACTCATTTGAGGCTGAGTCGACCTTACGGGAAGCCCAGGACCGGTTCAGATAATCGTCAGCGGTGTTGGCCGTGAGCGGGAATCGAACTCGTGTCGTCGTGTTCCGTTGCGCAGTGTAGCGCTAACCGCTGCGCCACCGCTCCCCACACTCAGATACATGAAGACAAATATTCCCCGTAAATGCTCAACAGACTGTTGGGGCAAGTGCTGCTAGTGAGTAGCAGCACCCTATGAAGGTCGTCTCCCCGAGCGGCGATGGTTACACACTCATTCATTTGAGGCTGAGTCAACCTAGGGTGAGGCCCAGGACCGGTTCAGATATCCGACGCACGTGACGGCTGCCCGAATCATCGTCCTTGCGTCGATGCGCATCGGATGTCTCGAGACATCACGCACGCACGACGCGAGAGCGTGCGATCGCAACTGTGGGAGTGAAGTGTCTTCATGCGATTCACTTGCCGGCTTATATATCATTCTTTATCTTGGGGGTGGAATGCATCGTTATAATAATGAGTATTATTATTATATGACTATTATGTGAATACCAGTGAACTGTCACTCTCTTGTCGGCAAGGCACAGGATTGCCTCAAGCAAATCCTGACTCTGCTGATGATACAATGAAATGTCGAAACCAGCCCTTGCAAATGAACATCTTGCAGTTCACCAGCATTGGCTCACGCAGAGCCTGACTGCTGATGATACAATGAATGTCGAAACCAGCCCTTGCACATGGACATCTTGCAGTTCACGGGTATTGGCTCACGCAAAGCCTGACTGCTGATGAGACACCCGAGTGTGGAAACCGGTCCAGGGTTGTGTATTAAAAACCGAGGCCGATTGAAATACATTCACTCTCAGGGAGCCGCGCGGCTGACGGGATGTGTACAAAAACAACAGCGGCTACAATTTGTTGTCTCATGTGGTGTGCAGGACACGTGAGGTTTCGAGTAGTCTGCGTAATTATTCTGTGAATTATATTCTCGACGACGACGCTAATGATTACATTTGGCAACGAGGAGGCTTGGATTCGCTCAGGGCTGTACTCACTCAATTTGTTTTGTAAATTTAGCATGCAAATTACGTGTTAATGGTTTATTGAGACTGACCTTTGCTTGGAATAGCACTGAGAGACAGAGAGGTGAACACGCGGATTAGAGAACACACGCAGGATAGACACATCGTCACATTGATCTCCATCCAGCAGTGGATAGACCCTGATGATGATGATTGTGATGATGATTGTGATGAACCGTGAATCGCAGGAGATGTTAACTCCCTCGCCTGGTACACAGGAGGTTGTGGGTTCGATCCCGACCCTGACACCTGCTGCTGTATATTTGGAGCTTGTGTGTGTCTCTGTCACTTCATGGTGAGATGTTAACTCCCTCGCCAGGTACACAGGAGGTTGTGGCTTCGATCCCGACCCTGACGCCTGCTGCTGTATATTTGGAGTTTGTGGTGTCTCTCTCTCACTCCATGGTGAGATGTTAACTACCTCGCCTGGAATGCAGGAGGTCGTGGATTCGATCCCGACCCTGACGCCTGCTGCTGCTGTATATTTGGAGTTTGCGTGTCTCTCTCTCTCACTCCGTGGTGAGATGTTAACTACCTCGCCAGCTACACAGGAGGTAGTGGGATCGATCCCGACCCTGACGCCTGCTGCTGCTGTGTATTTGGAGTTTGCGGTGTCTCTCTTTCCGTGGTCGCGTGGATTTTTCTCCGGGGCTCCTCCGGTTTTTCACCCTCCACACTTTTTGGAATCAACATCACCGCGCCTTTTAGAGTAATTTGGCTGCTGCTATGAATCTACACACGCGACGACGACGACGACGATGATGATGAGGCCCACTTCTTTGGGCTATCATTTGTGACCGCCAGGTCGCACCTGAAAACAAGAACTGCATATCTCAGTGGGGCCTTGCCTTGTTACGTAAATACAAACACTATCTTGTGTTGGCGGTAATCATGATGAAAAGCTGTCCCACGAAATGGGCACACTTCACGTTAAGTCAGATACTGTGTGGGGGGTGGGCAGGGGGCTAGTGTGTAAACATCGCCATTGGGGAGACAAAGGTGGCCGGGCGTGGTGCTGGCCATCCTCCCCCCGTCGCGTGCCGCGCCGGCTGTCGTGCGTGCTGCTCCTCGCGAACAGCACTTGCCCCAACAGTCTATTCAAAGCTATAAGGGGGGGTCTTCGTATTTGTGAGCTCAGGGCCTCTTTGTGTGTGCAAACGGACCCGGCGAACCGGGTTCGATTCCCGCTCGCGGCCACCAACACCGGTGACGATATTATCTGAACCGGTCCTGGGCCGTCCCCTAGGTCGACTCGGCCTCAAATGAGCAGCTGGTGCGGTGTGTAAACATCGCCACCGCGGGAGACAAATGCGGCCGGGCGTGGTGCTTGGCCAGTCCGCTAGGGCTGCACAAGGGATCTTTGTCTTTGCGGGGGTGGGGCTGAGAAGGGGGCGGGTGAGTTAATTGACGTTGCGACATTGGAGGGAATTCACGAGGAAGTCGTAGAGTCAGAGCCAGGGTTCAAATATTAACTTTGCGCCGGAGACTCGTGACCACAGAGGGTGGGTCATCACCCAAGCTACAGAGGATTCTCAATGGCCATGTCAGAGACACTGAGCCAGCACTGCTGAGAGCCTGGGTTCGAGCCCTGGGTCTGGTTGTCTGTGTCTAAGGGGGTTCTCAATGGCCATGTCAGAGACACTGATCCAGCACTGCTAAGAGCCTGGGTTCGAGCCCTGGGTCTGGTTGTCTGTGTCTAAGGGGGTTCTCAATGGCCATGTCAGAGACACTGAGCCAGCACTGCTGAGAGCCTGGGTTCGAGCCCTGGGTCTGGTTGTCTGTGTCTAAGGGGGTTCTCAATGGCCATGTCAGAGACACTGAGCCAACACTGCTGAGAGCCTGGGTTCGAGCCCTGGGTCACGGCGTTTCTCACTCAAGGGGGTTCGTTTCGGAGAGATTGATCCAGAACTGCTGAGATCCACGGTTCAGAATCAGAATATTTATTTATATAGGAAGGGAGCTTCACAACAACATCTGTGCTACGGTGATCCACCAACCCTTGCTGCTGCTGCTGCTGCCTCCACAGCACTGGATGGTGACACGCTACCTGCAGCAGCGTGGACACCAACACAGCCACAACCATCTCCACAATCACCACCACCATCACAACCACCGCCACAACCATCACAACAACCACAGCCACCACAACCCCACTGATAATTATAGGAGTCGTGGGTAATAGGTTGGCGACCAGATGGAGCTCTCTTCCGGAATACTAATTGGATTTTAAAATAAACCTTACGTATGTATTTATTTGTTTCGGCAGCATTATTATATTTTTGTAGGTTTAACGCATTCTTCATGACAATCGTCTCGTCAGCTGGGGCGGGTGATATCTCTTGCTGACGTTTTTTTTTTTTTGCCGCGGGGGGTAGATCAATGTGTGAAACGTAAGAATAGGTTTGACCCTTTATGGTCATAAAACAGGTGTTAGGATGCTAAAACACCGCCTTTATTATTCACCTTCTGGCGTTCTCCGGTCTGACACTGGTGAGACTGGGCCATCAAGAAGGCTGTCTCTTTTCGATTTAAAGCTTTCGTGACTGCAGGGATTCATCTTCTTGGTTCTTTCGGTAAAGTCACCACGTAGAAGGGAAATAATGAAATAATAAAAATATAAAACAATAATATTTTAGCATGTTTTATTTTTATTATGTTATTTTTATTATTATTTTATTATTTCCCTTCTACGTGACTTTACCGAAATAACCAAGAAGAAGGCTGTCTCTGATGTAGGCCCATCAGTTTCAAAGACAATGCCATTGTCAGAACCATGTTTGTTTGCGTGTTCATCACGTGTGCCTGCGTGTGGTTAATGCAGTACAGTAAAACCTTGGCTTGCGAGCATAATTCGTTCCGAAAACGTGTTTGTAATCCAAAGCACTCGTATATCAAAGCACTCGTGTATCAGTTGTGATCACGTGACGCTCGGCAGACAAAGAGTGTACGTACACTGCACGTATTGCAAGACCCTCGCTCGTTTATCAAATAATTTTTAAAAAAAAAATTTGCTCGTCTTGCAAAACACTCGCAGACCAAGTTACTCGCAATCCAAGGTTTTACTGTATTTGATTCTTTGCCGAAGTTGATTTGGCGCTTTCGAGACTGCAGGAATTATTCTTTGGTTCTTTCGGTAAAGTCACGTAGAAATAGAAAATAATAAATTACATAATTATGAAAATAATAAATTATGTAATTTATTATTTAATAATAATTAATGTAATTTATTATTTTCATAATTATGTAATTTATTATTTTCTATTTCTACGTGACTTTACCGAAAGACCCAAAGAATAATTCTTTGCGAAGGTTTCTGTTTGGTGTATGAACACCTCACCTTCTGTTTTATTGCCAGCAAGGGTAAAACCCATGATTCTTTTTCATACTCTGATACCGGCACAAAAAGGTGCCATTATATAGCTGCTCGCATCGAGCTATGAACGCTCAGATACGTGTGGCGTTGTCCTTGTAGCCGTTCACCTTTTGGCGTTCTCTGTCCTGGCACATGGTGAGACTGGGCCATCAAAAAGGCTGTCTCTGATGCAGGCCAATGCATACAATATTATCGGAGCCACGTCTTGACTGCATGTTCACCACAAGTACCGCGTGCGATGAATGCAGTCACTTGATTACATGCAAAAGGTTTCTATTTAGTATTTGAGCATCTTAACGCATCTCCTGTTCTGTTGCCAGAAAGGGGTACAAACCGACTCTTAATTTTCACACCGGGACATCCGTCCTCCTACTCATCCGCAGCTCATCATTTGCACATCAGCGAAACCGGCCTCTCCACCAATAAATTACTCCAGGTGACAATGTACACAAATGCGTGTTTCGCCCCGGAAGTGGTAAAACATCCGCTGCCTACCGACCACCACCACCACCACCGGCACCAACCAACCACGCTGCAGTGACTTGGCGAAGGTTCATCACTCTATAGCGTCGCGAATTGTCCAGCGGTTACGTCGTCACGTGTAGTGCTAACTACCTCGCCTGGTACGCAGGAGGTTCTGGGTTCAAACACAACCCTGACGCCTGCTGTATATTTGGAGTTTGCGTGTCTCTCTCTCTCTCTCCCCGTGGCGAGATGTTAACTACCTCGCCTGGTGCGCAGGAGGTTGTGGGTTCGATCCCCAACCCTGACGCCTGCTGCTGTATATTTGGAGTTTGCATGTCTCTCTCTCCCCATGGTCGCGTGGATTTTTCCTTCGGATCCTCGGGGGATTTCCCTCCAAATTTAGAAGCAACATCATTCGTTTCGAGTAATTTGACTGCTGCTGTACATTGCCACGTGATGATTATAAGCCCATTTTCGTCGTGCTATCGTTTGGGATGGCCAGGTCGCTTCTGAAAAAGAGCTACGTAGCTCAGTGGGATTTTACCTGGTAAAACAAAATGAAAAAAAAAATAGTTGATAGTTTTAGTTTTATACACGGGGGGGTGTCACACTCTTTTTCGCCTACAGATGGAACAGATGGAGATTCGCACGCGACCTGCTGCGCTGCCTTCTTGTGGCGAGCCACGCAAAGTGGCGCTGCATCTGCTTCACGTGGCCTGCCGTACGATGGTTGTTTCGCACGGCTATCAAAACCGAGCATTTGTTTTAACTCTTAGATTTCACCTAATTAGTGACAAATCTCATGTGGATACTTATAGCAGACGAATTACAAATATATCACGTCCCATCATCCCATCCCTTTATTCCATTCCCGTCACCTCGTCCAATCGTTCCGTCCTATCATCTCGTCCAATCATCCCGTCCCATAATCCCGTCCAATCATTAGGTCCCATCATCCCTTCCCATCATCCCTTCCCATCATTCCGTCCCATCATCATTTCCCATCATCCCGTCCCATCACCCAATCCCATCACCCAGTCCCCGTCATCCCGTCCTATCATCTCGTCCAATCATCCCGTCCCGTAATCCCGTCCAATCATCCCATCCCATCACCTCATCTTATCATCCCTTCCCATCATCCCTTCCCATCATCCCTTCCCATCATCCCGTCCCATCACCCAAACCCATCATCCAGTCCCCGTCATCCCGCCCAATCATCCCGTCCCATAATCCCGTCCAATCATTAGGTCCCATCATCCCTTCCCATCATCCCTTCCCATCATTCCGTCCCATCATCATTTCCCATCATCATTTCCCATCATCCCGTCCCATCACCCAATCCCATCACCCAGTCCCCGTCATCCCGTCCTATCATCTCGTCCAATCATCCCGTCCCATAATCCCGTCCAATCATTAGGTCCCACCATCCCATCCCATCGCCCCAATCCCATCACCCAGTCCCCGCCATCCCGTCTCAGTAGCGCGGCAGCGAGTCCATGGAGTAGAGTGGCGCCTGGCTGGAGCTCTCTCTGGGTTTCTCCTTGCGGCACGTCCCGCACAGGACGCCCACGAAGCCGTTGACGGCCTGCACCAGGCACAGAGCCACCTCCACGGCACCCACGGCCATCATGATGGAGAAGAGGGAGATGTGCCACTCGACGATCCACACCGGCGCCTTGCAAACGCTCCACAGCGATGAGTTGAAGAGGTAGCTCGTGCTGAGGCACAGCAGGGGGTCAGGGGGCACACGGACACGGGAGATGGAGCACGGGGTCGAGTGAGGCGTCTCAAGCGATTCAGGGTGCCACGTTGGCTAGATGTCATCTCCCTCGCCTGGTACACAGGAGGTCGTGGGTTCGATCACAGAGCCTGCGAGATGTCATCTCCCTCGCCTGGTAAACAGGAGGTCGTGAGTTCGATCCCAGAGCCTGCGAGATGTCATCTCCCTCGCCTGGTATACAGGAGGTCGTGGGTTCGATCCCAGAGCCTGCAAGATGTCATCTCCCTCGCCTGGTATACAGGAGGTCGTGGGTTCGATCCCAGAGCCTGCGAGATGTCATCTCCCTCGCCTGGTATACAGGAGCTCGTGGGTTCGATCCCAGAGCCTGCGAGATGTCATCTACCTCGCCTGGTATACAGGAGGTCGTGGGTTCGATCCCAGAGCCTGCGAGATGTCATCTCCCTCGCCTGGTATACAGGAGCTCGTGGGTTCGATCCCAGAGCCTGCAAGATGTCATCTCCCTCGCCTGGTATACAGGAGGTCGTGGGTTCGATCCCAGAGCCTGCGAGATGTCATCTCCCTCGCCTGGTATACAGGAGCTCGTGGGTTCGATCCCAGAGCCTGCGAGATGTCATCTACCTCGCCTGGTATACAGGAGGTCGTGGGTTCGATCCCAGAGCCTGCGAGATGTCATCTCCCTCGCCTGGTATACAGGAGCTCGTGGGTTCGATCCCGACCCTAACGCCTGTTTTTTACTTGGAGTTTGCGCCATTATGAACCCCCTGTAAGAAAGAGCCAGACCCAGGGCTCAAACCCAGCATCTCATCTGTGCTGACTCAGTTTCACCGACACAGCCATGAGCAGAATTTGTATTTATACTGTAAAGCTATTTTTCACAGATGTGATGGGAAGGGGGCGCAGGCTCAGAACGTTGCAACCAATAAACACAATACAAAGAAAAACACGCGATAGGAGTGCAGAATATAGGAAGGCCAAACAAGTCACGTGTACAAAGTTACAGACTAATATAAACTAAACCATTTTTTTGTGTCTGTTACGAACTCTCCAACCATCCCCCACTCCCTCCGGAGCTCCGTCCGCCGGGCGAGACCCTTACTCCAGGATCTGGAAGTCCCACTTGTCGATCTTCCCGAAGGGGTAGTCCCACTGCTCGCTGCTTCCGTTCTTGAAGAGGCACATGGGGCCCTCCACGAGCGCCACGGTGGAGACCACGAGGCAGTAGAGGGCGCCCGCGACGCCCACCAGCGACAAGAGGACGGACGTCAGCATCTGTGGAGGAGACGTAGTGGCGTTGCTGGGGAGAGGCTGTGGCCCTGCTGCTGCTGCTGCTGCTGTTGTTGTTGTTGTTGCACCGTTGGTAGTGGTGCACAAACAACAACAACAACCCTGCAACGTTAGTTTCAGCACTGGCCATAGACTCAACACTGCCAATAGACTGAACACTGCCCATTGACTAAACACTGCCCATAGACTCAACACTGCCCATAGACTCAATACTGCCCATAGACTCAATACTGCCTAGAGACTTAACACAGCCCACAGACTCAACACTGCCCGTAGACTCAACACTGCCCACAGACTCAAAACTGCCCATAGACTCAACACTGCCCATAGATTCAACACTGCCCATAGACTCAACACTGCCCATAGATTCAACACTGCCCATAGACTCAGCACTGCCCATGGACTCAACACTGCCCACAGACTCAATATTGCCCATAGACTCAACACTGCCGATAGACTCAGCACTGCCCATGGACTCAACACTGCCCACAGACTCAACACTGCCCATAGACTCAACACTGCCCATAGACTCAACACTGCCTAGAGACTTAACACTGCCCACAGACTCAACACTGCCCATAGACTCAACACTGCCCACAGACTCAATACTGCCCATAGACTCAACACTGCCCATAGACTCAACACTGCCCATAGACTCAACACTGCCCATAGACTCAACACTGCCCATAGACTCAGCACTGCCCATGGACTCAACACTGCCCACAGACTCAACACTGCCCATAGACTCAGCACTGCCCATAGACTGAACACTGCCCATAGACTCAACACTGCCCATAGACTCAACACTGCCCATAGACTCAACACTGCCCATAGACTCAACACTGCCCACAGACTTAACACTGCCCATAGACTCAACACTGCCCATAGACTCAGCACTGCCTATAGACTCAACACTGCCCACAGACTCAACACTGCCCATAGACTCAACACTGCCCATAGACTCAGCACTGCCCATGGACTCAACACTGCCCACAGACTCAATATTGCCCATAGACTCAACACTGCCGATAGACTCAGCACTGCCCATGGACTCAACACTGCCCACAGACTCAACACTGCTCATAGACTCAACACTGCCCATAGACTCAACACTGCCCATAGACTCAGCACTGCCCATGAACTCAACACTGCCCATAGACTCAACACTGCCCATGGACTCAGCACTGCCCATGGACTCAACACTGCCCGTAGACTCAACACTGCCCATAGACTCAACATTGCCCATAGACTCAACACTGCCCATAGACTCAGCACTGCCCATGGACTCAACACTGCCCATAGACTCAACACTGCCCATAGACTCAGCACTGCCCATGAACTCAACACTGCCCATAGACTCAAGACTGCTCGTAGACTCAGCACTGCCCATAGACTCAACACTGTCCATAGACTCAACACTGCCCATAGACTCAACACTGCCCATATACTCAGCACTGCCCATGGACTCAACACTGCCCACAGACTCAATATTGCCCATAGACTCAACACTGCCGATAGACTCAGCACTGCCCATGGACTCAACACTGCCCACAGACTCAACACTGCCCATAGACTCAACACTGCCCATAGACTCAACACTGCCCATAGACTCAGCACTGCCCATGAACTCAACACTGCCCATGGACTCAACACTGACCATGGACTCAGCACTGCCCATGGACTCAACACTGCCCGTAGACTCAACACTGCCCATAGACTCAACACTGCCCATAGACTCAACACTGCCCATAGACTCAGCACTGCCCATGGACTCAACACTGCCCATAGACTCAACACTGCCCATAGACTCAGCACTGCCCATGAACTCAACACTGCCCATAGACTCAAGACTGCTCGTAGACTCAACACTGCCCATAGACTCAACCCTGCCCATAGACTCAACACTGCCCATAGACTCAACACTACCCATAGACTCAACACTGCCCATAGACTCAACACTGCCCATAGACTCAACACTGCCCATAGACTCAACACGGCCCATAGACTCAACACTGCCCATAGACTCAACACTGCCCATAGACTCAACACTGCCCATAGACTCAACACTGACCATAGACTCAGCACTGCCTATAGACTCAATACTGCTCATAGACTCAACACTGCCCATAGATTCAGCAATGCCTATAGACTCAATATTGCCCATAGACTCAACACTGCCTAGAGACTTAACACTGCCCACAGACTCAACACTGCCCATAGACTCAACACTGCCCATAGACTCAGCACTGCCCATAGACTCAACACTGCCCGTAGACTCAACATTGCCCATAGACTGAACACTGCCCATAGACTCAGCACTACCCCTAGACTCAACAATGCCCATAGACTGAACACTGCCCATAGACTAAACACTGCCCATAGACTCAACACTGCCCAGAGACTCAACACTGCCCATAGACTCAGCACTGCCCATGGACTCAACCCTGCCCACAGACTGAACACTGCCCATATACTCAACACTGCCCGTAGACTCAACACTGCCCATAGACTCAACACTGCCCATAGACTCAACACTGCCCATAGACTCAATCCTGCCCATGGACGCAATACTGCACCATAGACTCAGCACTGCACAATAGACTCAACACTGCCCATAGACTCAACACTGCCCATAGACTCAACACTGCCCATAGACTCAACACTGCCCATAGACTCAGCACTGCCCATAGACTCAACACTGCCCATAGACTCAATCCTGCCCATGGACTCAATACTGCACCATAGACTCAGCACTGCCCATAGACTCAACACTGCCCATAGACTCAACACTGCCCATAGACTCAACACTGCCCATAGATTAAAAATTTCTCACGACGTTTCGACCATAACTCAACGGTCATCTTCAGGTGTGTTCGTGTGCATAAATTTATTTCTAAACGGGGCATTTATTTATTTATTTATTAAAAAAATAAACGTTAGCGCCACGCGCAACGATTTGGCAGTTTATTTAGGACTAGTCCATCTATATTCTGAAAAGAGGAGGGGGGAGACGAAATTTTTTATAATGTATGCTGTCTGAAAGCCACTGTAAGCGTGAACAATCAATTAAGACCTGAAATGGTTTATCAAATCTTTACAATGATTGCTAAGATAGAATCCATCTTCTCGGTTGAAATTGTCTCTGTGCTTGTATATGTGGATAGCCTCATGAACGAATCTCTCATGGAAGCCAGATGGCTTACAAAGAACCTCTGTCTTGGAAAAGTCAATGGCATGTGAGCCTACTGAATTAGAACAATGATCTGCCATGGCCGAGGTGTTGGTCCAACCGTGTTTAAGGTCTGCTTTGTGTTCACGAATGCGGTCCGAGACATGGCGTTTGGTTTCTCCAATGTAACTACTACTACAGAGGCAACTTAGTTTGTAGACACCAGGGTATTGTATGTCCGGAATCACATCTTTTGCAGACGGAACCAGATCACGGATTTTATGTAATGTGTTGAAACGGACCTGAATCTTGTGTTTATTCAAGATTTTGGAGATCTTTTTTGTGATCCCCGCAATGTAGGGTAAAGTGATGGTTTTGAAAGGCTCCTCAAGAGGGTTCTTCTTCATGGTTTGAGTGATAGCTTTGCGGATTGTATAGTCGGAGTAACCATTAGCCCTAAGAGCTTGGTGTACGTGCTTGAGTTCACTGCTTATGTGTTCCTGGTCGGATATGCATTGGGCTCTATGATACAGAGTCTTGATGAGAGAATTCTTCTGTGATGGATGGTGGTGGGAATCCGGTTTCAGATAAGCATCCATATGGGTAGCTTTCCTGTAGACAGAGTGGCTCATTGAACCATCAGGTCTCTTTTTAATTAGGACATCCAAAAAAGGTATCTTGCCATCTATTTCGACTTCCATGGTAAATCTGATGGCTGGGTGTATGGAATTGATGTGGTCGAAGAATTGGTCTAGAGCAGGCCGGCCATGTGGCCAGATGACAAAAGTGTCATCCACGTACCTCTTCCATAAGGTTGGGCGCAGAGTTGCAGTCTGGATGGCGTCAGTCTCAAATTTCTCCATGAAAATGTTAGCTATAACTGGAGAAAGGGGGGAGCCCATTGGGGTGCCCTCAGTTTGTTTGTAGAAAGTTCCATTCCAAGTGAAGTATGTATTGGTTAAACAGTGTCTCACCAGGGGGGGGTACCTCAGTGTTTAGTCCTTGATGAACCAAGTCTTCAATGATTGCAATGGTGTCAGGTACAGGAACCTTGGTGAATAAGGAAACTACATCAAAACTGACAAGCAGGTCGTCTGGGGACAGGGAAATACCCTTGATTGTCGATACCAGGTGAGTAGAATTTTGTACCGCAGAGGTGGTCTTTCCAGTGAAAGAACGCAAGATTTCAGACAAAAAACGAGCTAGTTTGTAGGTGGGGGAGCCGATAGTAGAGACTATGGGACGAAGGGGTGTATCTACTTTATGTATTTTTGGTAAGCCGTATAATCTTGGTGGCCTGGCAGCAGAAGGTTTCAACGAAAACTGTTTAGATTGATCAATTAATGCGGTTGAATCAGAAATTATTTGTTGGTTTGTGTGACGAGGCTGTTGGTGGGATCTCTTTTTATTTTTGTATAACTACCATCGTCGAGTAATTCTTTAATTTTGTTGTTGTATTCTATTTTATCCATGATGACAGTAGCATTGCCTTTGTCAGCTGAGAGGACTACAATATCATTCCTCTTTTTTAATTTATATAATTCAAAACGCTCATCTTTGCTGAGGTTGCTAGCTGGCATCTTAGCGTTTTTGAGGGTTGCAGCGATTTCAGATCTTGCTACGTCTGCAGCGATGTGACCCAGGCCCTGAGAGCAACGTCTACTTGGGCAATTATATCATTAACTGGTATGTGTTTAGGTGTGACTGCAAAGTTTAGACCTTTATATATATTTTATTATTTTGTTGTTTCCCTTCAACGTGACTTTACCGAAAAAACTAAGAATATGAATTACTGCAGTCACGAAAGCTTTAAATC